CCCACTTCGATCTTCGTCGTGACATTGGTTCGGCCATTTTGAAATCTTATGACCCACTGACGCACTCCACCTTCAGTGATAATGTTGTCCCCATACACTCACGAAGCTGCGATAGATTTCTATCGGTTTACGTTTTTGCAGCAGAAACCTTATACTGAGCGCACCTCGCAGCTCGCGGATTTCAATAACGCAGATTTCAAACCGTCACAGTATCTGAACGGAGCACAGCACAACCTCTCACTAGCACGCTAGATGCAGACTGAGCTCGCAACGCTCTGACCCCAAGATGGCGCGCTAGCCCGCCCCTAGCGGACAAGACGGAACGTAATCTACTTCTGGATGGCCTGTATTTGCTTGAAAATGAAGTTTGTACCGTTGTCAGTGTAGAATACATTTACTCTACCACTTCGAGCAAAGAATCTTCTTAAAGCCATAATAAAACTTATATAATAATAATAGACAGGGAATTGACTAATTAAGATAGACAGCCCTATAAATGGCACGGGTAAAAAGTGCAACCCAAGTCTTTTCGCCAGAACGCAAATACAAAGGGCCTGCGAGATCAATCCCTGAAACTTCACAAAATGCAGCAGCCTTTATTCTGTTCTTAGGAAGAGGTGCAAAAGCTGCTTCTGTAGGTTTGGCTTAGAATCTTTTACATGAAATACAAATAAAGCTAACTTTTTTGGTTAATCTATTTGTTTCTATTGAATGAAATAATCCAGTAATCTTCTCTTAAATTGGCAATCAGAGTTTTCCTGCATGTTGTAGTTTACAATGCCCCTTACCAGTCGATCAATAATCTCATGGCTTCTGGGCAAAATTATGGGGCCATAATTTTCCTCTTCATCTCCCAAGAGAAGCTTTGTTCCGAGTCAAACAGTAACATTTTCGTCTCTGAATGTTTGCATGTTCTTCAGGATTTTCATTTTTCTTCCGGCAAAAGTTTCCTGCTGAATTAATTTTAGTAAACAGTTTTCCGCTAATTGCACTTCTTCATAAGTCAGCTCAATTTTCTTAAGTTTTTCTTTTCGTTAGCAGCTTTTAATGAAACGAAGTATCCAGGCAAACATTCTAAGAATCATCGTATATTTCAACAAATAAAGTAAATTGTCAATGAAGTTAACTAATCCAGCTCCACATTACTGATTATCATTTTTCTCTCTTCCAATCCAACCAAATTTTCCTCAATGACTGGTTTTTCACTTAATGGCCAAAATTCTTGTGACTTTTGTAACCATTCTCGACCTTCCCACCATTTTCTTTTCAATAAATTCTTAGCATCACAACCTCTTGAAGGCAAATCTGCTGGATTCATATGCTCTGGAACAAAATGCCAGTCATTTGGCTTAGTATTCGGTTCTTATTCCTGTGACTCTGCTTCCTCAAAGCATATTCCAAGAACTCTCTCTTTTGATCCAGGCAACAGTTGAAGCAGTCCAAAAATACCAAAAATTCAATTCCAGTCCGTCTACGACTTGACCATATAATCTTGATTAGATCAAAGCTCCCAAGAGTTCCAATCTAAGAATTGTAATCTCTTTCCTTTGTCAAGTGCCACCTTTGACTTACTCGCTACTAACTTGACTGAAATCTTCTCATTAAATTCAGAACATAAGAAAATACAAGCAGCATAAGAAACTTCAATGGCATCACAGAAATAATCTACTTATTCGGCAATTATTTAAATGTATCTGATATATCTATTGGAAGTACACGTCCCAATTAACTTTCCTCTTCCAAATGTCTGAAGCAATACTTTAGATATCAATGAAACGGGACATGTTATTCCAATAGGGTCAAATAATCTTTGGACAGCCGAGAACACGACTCTTTTAGTAAACCCCTTTTCTGGAATTTCAACCATACTGGTGCAAAAAAGTTCATCAGTTTCAGTGTTGCAAGAGAGACCTACAATTGAAATGAATCTGTCATGTGTCTCTTCTACAATTTTTCTAGAAGTAACCCAGCCTCGTAGTTCGAATTGTGCTGAAGAGATCAGCTCCTTAGCTACAGAAAAATTTTCTGCCTCTTCTTTAGTTTCTAAACTTGTAATACAGTTGTCCACATAAAAAGATTCTTTGAGTCGGAGGAAGCTGTTTGCTTCCTTTCATCCGAAGCATTCTCTTGATAGTAAGCTATAGTTGCTTCTAGTAAAAATGTACTAAAAGAAGCACCAAATACCCTTCTAGAATGTTGGAGAGTGATTAGTTCTTCTCGTCTTGATAAACCCTTCCACCACAGAAAGTTAAAATATTCCCTATCCTCTGGATTCAGACTGATTTGTAAAAATGCTGTTTTTTGATGTCTGATGGCCAATTGCATTGTTCCGAAATTGCATTATCAATTCGGGTGCCAATTCTAATAAATTTGGCTTTTTTTCTAAACAATTAGCCAAGGAATTTCCTTTGGAATCTTTCATTGACACATTTAAAACCCGACAAATTTTTGTTGTTGTTACACCAGTTTTTATCACAGGATGATGTGATAAATAGCATCCTTTTTTCTCGACGTTATCAACAATTTCAATAATTCCATCCTGAACCCACTCATTAAAAATACATCGTCAAAGTTTCTTAAATGCCCAGATCTAATGAGATTTTTGGTAGTTGACATTAACTGTTTAGTGGCTAATTCTGGACATCCACTTTTCCATGGCAAACATACTTCACATCTTTTGTCTTCATTTAATACTTTTAAGGAAAAAAAAATCTACCATTTCTTTCTTCGGTTACCTGCATTGACTTTATTTCTGCAGGATATCTTATACCGATGACATCTAGGCTCCACAATTCTGTCAAATCTAAATTATTAGCATATACAATACTCACCAAAGATTTTGAGTAGTCTTTATGTTTATCTTGAAGCGTCCATCCAAGTTTTGTTTTAATAGATAGATACCAAATTATTAACAATGGGCTCAATTCTCCCCGTTACTAATGCGCCAAGTTAATCTGCTCCTATTAATAAACCTATTTCAGGCACATATTCTTCTGTATCACTTAAACGTATTTTTTCTTTTTCAAAATTGGATAAATATCCAGGATCCTCTACACATGGAATTGCACCACATATCTTCTTTTCAGCCCAAACTAAAATACTGTACTTGAAATTTGAACACAAGCTTTGTAATGTAATACTGTAGACATTGTGGGACTCTTGTTTAGTTTCACTGCCCCTCCAAAAGTCTATGACTCATCATTTCTTGATCTAAAGGTTTCAATCCTAGTTTCTGTGCAACATCTTTTCGTAAGAAAGATCTCTGAGCACCAGTATTAAATAATTCGTGAACAATTCCGGAAATGTCATCATTGATGATTTTCACCAATACAGTTAACAACAATGTTAACAATTTTTTGGTGACAAAAGAACCTGTGCATCCAATTCAGACTGTCTTGTTTTTATTGATTTATATTTGGACATATGCTATGGTGTTTTTTCTTGCATATAATACACTTTAAATAAGCTTTGCAGACCTTAGAAGTGTGTCCTGGTTTCAAACAGACGAAACAAGACCCCTTTTTCTTCCATGTTTCCTTTTTTGGCTCCAGTGACATCATTCTTAAAGCATTCTGAGGTATTATGAAACGACTTGTTACAAAATAAACAATGCTTGGCATTTTTCTCAGCTCTTTGCTTTTTATTAGATACAATGCAAGCTGCAGTGGGAATTTTTTTCTTTCCTTTTAAATTTTTCAAATTCTTTATCATTCGCAAACCCTGATCAAGTTGTAACCACTCTTCACTTTCGACTTCCAAACGAAGAAATAAGTTTCCCAGCATTGTCATCTTGTCTTTATTTTCTAGATGGTTATGTGTGCGTTCCCACTCCTTGATAAGAACTTCTGGCATAGCTGATTCCACTAAAGGATATAACATTGCTCCATATTTTTCAGACGTTACCCCTAGAGTCTCTAATGGTTGCAACTGAGTCTTCAATTTATCATAAAGAACCTGCAAAGTAAAATTTTCGCCACTTCTCGCTTGCATTAAAACTAGATTTAAAAGTTCATGAATATAAATTTGAATTGATAGTTTATCTTTAGCAAAACGAGAATAGTTTTCGCCAAATAGTGGAAAACTTGCAACTAAATCTCTGGCCGATGAACCTTCTTCAGTTGCTTGTAAAAGATACCGAAATTTGTCATCTGCATCAATACTATAATCATCATGATTTTTTTTTTTTTTAAATTATCCCTAGAATCCTAGCCAGTTCTTAATATTACCATCAAAATGTTTCAATTCTAACTTTGGATGACGGAAATTTCGCTTAGTTTCACTGGTTGAGAGCATTAACCTTTTCCCGTGGGCTGTAGGGGTGTAATTTGAATGTATTTGGCCATTTCTCAGGTCACATTTAACTGAAAGGAACGAAAACAACTCGACAGGGGATTGCACTTCCTAATCAATCTAAGGAGTAATTTAACTCAATAGTTTACTGAAATTTCTTGAGACACATTTAAAGTAGTGAACGTGTGGGACATATATGTCCCAGCCCCCGGGAAAAGGTTAAACTTTTGTTTCATTAGCAACCCACTGATTTCGATAGCTCTCCGTTAAATCTATTCTTAGAATATTCACCTTCATTAAAGATTTCTATTTTTAGCCACATTAATTTTTTGATCGAATTGAAAAATCTCAGTTTTATCATTAAAAATATTAAATACAGACATCAAATCAATCTTACTTACTGCTTTATCTTTTAGAACAGTTTCCACTTCTTTCAAAGAAGTTGTGAAATATTTACATAATTGTGTTCTTTCCCGTTTTAAATTATCCATAGTCCTGTTGCACGGATGCCAGTATTTTAAAGGATTCGAAAATAACTATGGATTTATTGTGGAAAAACACTTTAATTGCAGATATTTACGAAATTTTGAAGCAGTTATTCTTACAAACATGATAGAGCTTATTTTTAAAACATAAAACTTAAACAGAGTTGAGTTGTAGCTGGTATTACTCAAACAATATTAACAATAATACAGTTAAATTTAACTTACAGGTCCACCGTACTCTATTACATCAGCAAATACACATAGTGACCACTGGCGATCTGGCCAAGGCCTACTTGGTTCCTAGAAGCACAAACATTTATATTAGCATACAATAGCACTAATGAATTAGAAGATCAAACTATACGCAAAAAAACCACACTCCATACTTTTAAATTACAGGGCTTTACTAGGAATTCACGTATAATATTAAAAACATTATCACTGAATCATGACTAAGATTTTAGTAACTTTTTTACAAGCTACCAATGTGCCATGCACCTTCCAGGATTAGTATATTTAAATACGACAAGGGCATAAGGGATAACTATGTAAGGGAAGAGATGCGTTTATGGAGGATTTTATGAGGGAAACAGGCTTGTATTCATGTTACTCATGGAAAAAGCCAACTGTGCAGCCAGCCCATTTAGCCCAGTCAAAGACAAACTGGTGAGAAAAAAATCATGGAAATGGTCTTAAATGCATCCTTTTAGACTTGGGTTAATGTGTGTAAAAAGTCCCTGAGGATGGGATTGATCTCGAGGAGAGGCAAGGGTTTAAAGGTCCCTTTTTTTTTCAGTTTTTCGTTACATCTCCAAAACTATCCCTCCTACAGAAAAATACTGTTATGAAATGTACAGGCGCGGTAAGATGGCTTCCCCGCAAAGCAGTTATAGGGTTGCCATAAAATGGCAAGGTAAGGCACAGTTGCCACATTTGGCGAAAAATCGCCCATTAGGCAAAATTTGGCGATATCCCATGGACAGATGGAGAAACTTCTGGAAGAATCTTACGTTTGTCCAGAATGTTCTCGAACACAAGCCAAAAAATTATAACCTGATGGTCCGCAGTCAGTGTGTGGCCTCGTCTAGCGAGCTGATAGTCAGTCATTGGCAAGTGTCTCAAGGGACTGACTATCAGAGTGATTGGAAGTTCTCGGCCAGTTGGTCGTCGAGGGGCATCAAGTTTTGTCTTAGACGGTGCTCAGGACAAGAGTTATACTCTTTGGGTATTGTCGAGCGCATCGTGTGGAGTCTCAAAAATACGTATAGAGTAACGGAAATCGACCCCAAGCAGGAGTGGGAGTGTGTGCTACTCAGGTGCTTGCAGGGAAGCTGTCTTCACGGTTATGCCTGAAAGTGTGAAGGCTGTATCACTGAACGTGTCAGCGTGTTTAAACAGTTTGACAACTGTAAAAGTGATTCTGGAGCTATCTGATTAATATTGGTAAATAAAGTGTGCTTCAATACTTCATCAAGTGTCGTCGTTATTCACTCCAAATCTACGAACAACGTAAGAACTTGTGTCAGAAGAGGAAAGCGCAACAATTGGTGTCAGGAGTGGGGTTTGCGAGTGAATGCCAGTGACGCACCTGCAGAGGAAACGAAGACTTTGATGGACTTCTTAGCCGAGATAAAAGCAAAGTGAATGCCAGTGACGCACCTGCAGAGGAAACGAAGACTTTTATGGACTTCTTAGCCGAGATAAAAGCAAGACAGGAAGAGATGAAGGCCGAAATGAAAGAGATGAAAGCCGGACAGAAAGAGATAAAAGCCGAAATGAAAGCCAGACAGGAGCAGATAAAGGTTGAAATCAAAGCTGCACTAAAAGAGTTAAAGCGAGGCTGGTAGATAAAGCCCTGCAGGAAAAAATAAATGTCGGCCAAGAAAAGGCACGAGAGCAACAACAGCTGAAAGTGGAGCTTGCAGAAGAAACTCGAGCCATAAAAGAAGATGTGAAAATGATAGTAGTGGCATCTGGAGAATCCAAGGATGAAGAAATGAAATCCAGAAATGATCGATGAAATATCTAACGGGATTAGAGAAAAAGAACGAAAACATGAAGAAATAAAAGACGGGAAGATTTTGATTCTCACATGCCTGAAGTAGAGATAGCAGAAAGTGAAAATGCGACTGTCAAGTTCCTAGAAACTGATAGTGAAGTTATGAAAACGCAGTCAGCAAGTGTTGAACCATCTGAAAGTGCATGTGATGCAGAGATGGGAGAATCTGATGTGCAGTTTAAGCAGTAAGCTCCAGTATTGCAAGAAAATTCACCCACTTCGCAAACTATATGTGCATCTCATAGTACAGATATGGACTTGATTCTAAACCTGGATACTTGTGTTTGTGAAGAATCGGGTTCCGCTCACAACTCTAATGCAAACATCAGAACTGGTTTTCAGGAAATAAAGGAAAATGAGCATGTACCAATTGCTAAAAATACCGAGGTGAACTGTACACATGCTGCGAATGAATTACAAAGTATTGAACAAACTGTTTCAGATCTTCCTGTGGTTGAAAAGTCTGAAAGGACTGAATCTTCAGACTGTGATATGCAAAACAGAAATACATCTGAGAACTGCAATGGAAAAATGTTTGACCTGGGTATAATTTAATGGAAAGACTGAGACTGAAATTCATTATGAACTTTAATTTGTATCATTTAAATTTTGTATTTAATTTGCATATATAACGGTATCTAGTGTAATATTGGTTTTATAGGTATGTTATTGTTTGTTTTATGTTTGTTTGTATCGAAGTTGGTTTGACAAAGGCTGTGAATGACCGGACGCGCAGTCCTGGGGGGGGCGCGTCAGTGTTACGAAATGTACAGACGCCGGTGAGTGGAACACCCTTCCCTCACAGCAGCGTTAGGGTTGCCATTGATTAAAAGGGCAAGGGAAGGCAACGGTTGCCACATTTGGCGAGAAGAGAAAGCACTAATTTTGCAACATCCCCAGACGGAAAATGGAGAACTTCTGGAACCTCTTTCTTACCGGTAGCCCAGCAGAATGTTCTCAAACACAAGGCCAAAAATAATATAGGAACCGCTGGTATGCAGTCAGTTAGGTGTGTGCCCCTAGGCTAGCGGAGCGATCATAGTCAGCCATGAGCAAGTGTCTCAAAATCTAGCGCGAGTGGTCGAGTGCACCGTCGAGTTTAGTTTAGACTGGCCGAGACGAGAGCCATTACTCTTGTGTATCGTCGCGAGGCATTACGTGGAGAATGGAGAGTATCGACGTACGCGGCGTTCCGAGAACAACCAGCGAGTTGAGAAGCTATATGGGTTGGTTGGCAGTGAAAGCTGTCTCCACCGTAGGCTATGTGCTGAACGTGTCTCTGTTATAACAGTTTGACGACCTGCAAAAGTGATTTGTAGGATATGATTGATGTGGTAAATAAAGTATGTTTTGATACTTTATCAAGTGTCATCATTATTCGCTCCAAATCTATGAACCACGTAAGAACTGGTGTCAGAAGAAAAGAAAAACGTAACAACTGGTGTCATAAGAGGAAAGCGCTAATATACTTTATATACAAAATTTCCTACAAAAATGGTCCTATGAAATTTTGTCCTAGGACTAACCTGTTAAGAGTTACAGGGCTGGCAAAAGTAATATCAATTCAAAAATTATAGTTTATTCAGATTTAAAACTAAATTACAGTTTACAGTTGTCTTGAACATTTTATATATTATCTTGAACATTGTGTCTTAAGACTTCTATTACAAAATGAGCCAGTAAGGAAATCGAATGTATTGGGTTAAACAGTTCATTATAGGATTCATGTCAAGTGGGTCTTCAGGATCGTCCTCATATGCTGAATTATCATCTTCAACTAGAGGGCCACTACTGTATAATCATAGTATATTGAACAGCAATGAATTTCTGCCTTACAGCATCTACAGAGTGTACAACAGGTTTTGATGCAACTGCCGAATACCGGTGATAGAGCAGCATGATGCAAGGAAGGCAAGGGTTACAAGATTTCTATCTGATCTCTCATCGAACCCCAATCCATCAAAAATGACAGTGGAGCATTCACTATAGTGTCCTTTTATGCAAATCACATACTGATTAAATATCACTGAGAAGATTGATCCTATACTCCACCTGACTCGCTGAAGAAGAGATCCTCCATCAATTACATTAGTGTGAAGCTTGAGATCTTGAGTAACAGGGTGAACAGGGAAATTATCGTATAAGCAGACTTCTTTGTCTTTCCCACTTTTTCTTAGATAGTGGATAATAGAGATAATGGATAAGGTTCTCTAGATACAGTAATTCTTCTTGGAAATAGCCTACACATGGGGGGGGGGGGGGGGGGGGGGGGGGGGGGGGGGGGGGGGGGGGGGGGGGGGGGGGGGGGGGGGGCGGGGAGGGAGGGAGTATGCAGGGGGGGGGCGGGGAGGGGGAGGGAGGAAGGGAGGGGAAGAGGGGAGGCAGGAACCAGGAGAAGCAGGAGCGGGGGGAATGAGAGGTGCAGGGGGTGCCCGTAAGAAAAAGGCTGGGACTCACAGAGAAGGTAGGAGGACAGGAGGAAGGGGGTTAGGGGAAGAGAGGGGAGGGTGGAAGGAGGAGGGAGGAAAGGCGGGGACGAGTGTGGAGACGAGCGGGTGAAAGAGGAAGGCAAGCGGGAGGCGGGAAAGGCAGGGAAAGGAAACAAGGAGAGAGACAGGAAGCGGGGAAGAGGGAGACGGGGGGGCGAGGGAAGGGGAGGAAGAAGGACACGGGGCCAAAAAAGGGGAGGGGGAGAGGAGGAGGGGGCGAGGACGGAGGGGGCAAGGAGAGAGGGAGCGGAAGGAGAAAGAGAAGGAGAGAGGAGGAACAGAAGAAGGGGGGAGACGAAGTCGAGAAGAGGATAGTAGGCGCGGGGCGGGGCGGGGCAACGAGAGGGGGCAATAAGGGGAGGAGAAGAGGGGGAAGGGAGGAGAGAAGAAAAAGGGAGGGGAAAGAGCGGAAGAGACAGGGCAGAGAGGAAGGTGGGGGCAGGGAGGGTGGCGGCGTAAAGGAGAGGGAAGGGAGGACCGAGAGAGGGCAGGGGAGAGGAAGGTGCGGGCAAGAAGAAGGGGCGAGGAAGGTGAGCCGACGTGAAGAGGCGAGGGGAAGGGTAGAGGGGAGAGGGAGGGGGGAAAAGGCGGGGGGCGCGGGCGAAAAAACGGGAGGAAGCAGAGGGCAGAAGACCGATGGAAAAACGTACGGGGAACGAGGAAAGAGAGGTAGGAAGGGGAGAGACAGGACGGGGGGGAAGAAAGGCAGGGAGGGAGAGGACAAACAAAGAAGGGGGTCGGCCCAGAAGGGTGGGGAGGAGGGGGGCGCGGGTAGGGGGGGAACAGGAAAGGAGGTCGCGAAAGGGGGGGAGAGAGGGGGAGGAGAAGAAAGGCAAAAAAGGAGAAAATACCAGGGAAGGAGAGAGAGAGGGGGAGAAAGGGGAAAAGGAGGCAAGGGTGGAAGGGGGAGGAAGGCGAGAAGGAGGGAGAGAAGGGAAGGGGGGGGGAGCGTTGGGAAGAGGAGCGGGGACCGCGGAGAAAGCGGGCGGAGCCACGGGGGGAGGGGAGGCAAGAAAAAAGCAGAGGAGAGAGAAAAAAGGACGGGAAGGAGGGAGAACGGGGGAGCGGGGACAGGGGGGAAAAGGGGGAACGGGAGGCAAGGCACGCGGACTAGGGAAACGGAGGCACCAGGGGAAAGAAGCGGCGGGGCGGAGACCGAAGGAAGCAGACACGGGGGGAGGCAGGAAGAGGAGAAGGGGAGCGCAAGGGGGAAGCGAGGTGAGAATGGGGACAGGAGGAGAGGGCGGGGGAAGAGAGGGGGCAGGGGGGGGAGAGGAACCGGGGCAGCAGCAAGAAGGGAAGGAGGCGAGGGGGGGAGGAGAGGGCGGGGAAGAGAGGGGAGAGGGGCGGGGCAAGGTACAGGGCGGAGGAAGAGAGTGGATGAGGGAGAGAGCGAGGAGTCAAGCACACGGAAGCCAGAAGGGAAACGGAAGGGGACGGGAGGTAGAACAAAGAGAACGGGAGAGGAAGGATAGGAGGGGTGAAAGAGCGAGCGAGAGGGGAAATCACCAGCGCGAAACGGCAGCAGAGGAGCGGAAAGAGAAGGGCCACGAGGAGGGGGAGGGGGTAGCGGCGGGGGGGAAGGGACGGGCAAGAAGCGAAGGCAGAGGGGGGGGAAGAAGAAAGGAAGGAGAAGGAGGACGCCCCAAGGGGGGAGGGGGGGGAAACGGAAGGGGCAAGGGCGAGGGAGGGACGAGCAGGAGAGCGTGACGAGGGGAGAGAGGAGGCGAGGAGAGATGGAAAGGTGGGGGGGGAGAGCAAATGCAGTAGAGGGGGAGACGGAAAATGGCGGAGCACGAAGACGCGGGGGCGGGGGTGGAGGCGAAGAGAGGCGGAGGGGAGAAGAGGGAGAGAGAAGGGGGAAGGGGAGAGGGGGGGAGGAGCGAAGTGAGGAACGAATGGGCAAGAGGAAAGAGGAGTGTGGAGCAGACGGAGTCGAGGGAGGGGCGGGGAAAGAAAGTCAAGAGGCGAAAGTCACGGACGCAGGGGCAAGGGCAACCGGGGGAGGAAGCGGGCAGAAGGGGGGCGCGAGGAGGCGAAGGAGGAGACCGGGAAGGGAGGAGGAGCGGAGGGACAAAAGGAAGGAGAGGGGGAGCGGGAAAGAGAGGTGAAGAACGACGACAAAAAGATAAGCAGGGAAGGGAAGGGAAGAGGACGAGCAGAAAGGGGGGAAAAGGGAGGGAGGCGGGAAGCGCAGAAAGGGGCGGGGGAGGGGAAGAGGGAGTAGCAATAGAGAAGAGGGAAGAAACAAGCGGCGGAAGGAGAGGAGGGAAGAGGTGGAGGGAAAGCGGGAGGTAGGAGAATGAAGCGCACCGGAACGAAGGCGACGGGAGGGGAGGGGGGAGGAACGAAGGGGGAGGGGGGGGGCGGAGAGCGGAAGACGAGGCGGCGGAAGGGAGGGGGGGGAAGGAAGAAAGGAAGGGAAACAGAAGGCGAGACGCGCGCGAGGGCAAGGTAGGAGGGGGAAGGGGCGAGGCGAGGGAGAAAGGGAAGGTAGGGAAGCATGCGGGAGGAGGAGGGGGGAAGCGGGGGGGCGAGAGCGGAAACGAAAAGATAAGGCCAGGGATGGGAAGGGGGAAAAAGAGCGGAAAAGGGGGGGGCGAGGGGGGGACGGGGAGGGGAAGAGGCGCGGAGTAGCCAGAGGAGGCGGGGGGCGCGAAGGGGGAGGAAGGGGGGGCGGGCAGTGGGAACGAGACGAGAAGAGAAGGAGGCGGAGCCCACGGGGGGAAAAAACGAGGGGGGGGAGGAACAAGAAGGGAACGGAAAAAAGGGAGATGGATAAGGTTGAAAGCAATGGGAGGAGGGCGGAAGGAAAGAGGGGAGGGGAAAGGGGGCGGAAAGGGAGAGAAGACAAGTAAAAAGGACGGGAGCGGGGGCAGTGGAAGAAAGAGAGCAGACAGAGAGAAGCGAGAAGGGGGGCGGGAGGGGGGGGGGCGGGGATGGGCCGGACACGGAGAAGCACAGAGGAGGGGGAGGGAAGGAGGGGGAGAAGGGAAGGAGGGGGGGCAGGGAAGGGAAGAAAAAAGAGGAAAAGGAAGCGGGGAAAGGAACAAAGGAGGAAGAGGAAGACGTGGCAGGAACGGCGCAAGAACGAAGGGGAATGGGAAGGAGAGAAAGAAAACAGGGGAGAGGAAGGGACGGAGGGAGGAGGAGCAGGGAGCGAGGGGTAAAAAAGGGAGGAGAGAGAGCCAGGAGAACAGAAAGGGAGTAGGGGGGATGGGGGGGCGACGGACGAGGGGGAGTGGGAGGGGAGAGGGGAAGAACAGGAAGGGAGGGGGGGAGATGGAAGGGGGAGGGGAAGGGGACGGGAACGAAGCAAGCGGGGGAAGAGGGGGGGGGGGGGGTGGGGGGGGGGGCGGAGAGAGAAGGTGGGAAGCGGAGGAGGAGGGAGCGAGGAGACGGAGAAGGAGAAAGGAGGGGGGGAGGGAGAGCGCGGGAAAAAGAGGGGGGAAGGGGGGGGGGGGAAAGGGGGGGAGAGGAGGGGAGGAGGGAGAAAGAGGTGGGGGAGAGAAGAGGGGGGGGGGGGGGGAGGGGGGGGGGGGGGGGGGAAAGGGGGGGGGGGGAGGGGGAGAAAGGGGGGGGGGGGGGGGGGGGGGGGGGGGGGGGGGGGAGATGAAAGGGGGAAACGGGGGAATGGGAAAGGGGGGGGGAGGGGAAGGGGGGGGGGGGGGGGGGGGGGGGGGGGGGGGGGGGGGGGGGGGGGGGGGGGGGGGGGGGGGGGGGGGGGGGGTGGGGGGGGGGGGGGGGGGGGGGGGGGGGGGGGGGGGGGGGGGGGGGGGGGGGTGGGGGGGGGGGGGGGGGGGGGGGGGGGGGGGGGGGGCGGGGGGGGTGGGGGGGGGGGGGGGGGGGTGGGGGGGGGGGGGGGGGGGAGGGGGGGGGGGGGGGGCGGGGGGGGGGGGGGGGTGGGGGGGGTGGGGGGGGGGGGGGGGGGGGGGGGGAATAAATATTCGAAAAAAGGATCAACCACCTCACCAGCCTTGTCAATTTTTATGGTACTGCTCATGGAAGCCAGTGAAGAGACTGTCTTTTTGAGTGATGAGACTCTTATTTCCCCAAACTTTGGCCCTATCATCTTTCTCATTGTAACCTTGCCTTCTTGTAGGGCTTTGTGGCAATTTACATCACAGTTAGCAACAATGCCTGTTGTGAGGAAAGCTTATGCTTGCATTTCTGAAAAGGGATGATGCTAGGGGGGGAATGAAGATCTTTCTATCATCATCTCTTCTCTGCAGAGATGTGCGATAGTCTACATGTTGCTGATCTTAGGCAAGTTCAGGCCAGCAATGTCTTCGAAAGCAAAGCAAATTGATGTTGATGTACGTGCTGCACAAATCCAGACTCTGTTATTCATTGCCTACTTGTCGGCCCTCCATGGTCCTTCATGTTGCACATTAAAGTGAGCTCTATTGTCATATCAGATCAGTTTCGAGATCTGGGTGAATTGAAATATTTGGTGATATCTTCAAAGTTCGGGGGATGTGCAATGTAAGAGAAGGCATGTTTTAAAGGTATACATGAGCACATTTTGCATGTTGCAGGTGGCCAGTTATAACCACCACAGAGCAGTTTCATCAGATCAGAGCAAAGCATAAGAAATGGTCTGAAGCCTTTGTGAATATGCATGTGACTCAGCAAGTACAGGACTCTTCAAATTTGATTTCTACACACACTATATCTATATGAATGCTTATCATATGCAAATTAAATTAATTTGGAAGCATTTTCAATGCTGGAATACGCAATTTGACTTATCATCCAAACTTCAGAAGCTCATAGCACGGCAAACATACATCCTAGGACATAAATGCACAAGACCATTTTTGTAAGAAATTTTGTCAGCTTCAGTTTCGTATATGAAGTATTTTCCTGTTGGGGTCACAGTTTCCGAGATTTAAGTAAAAAACTGAAAAAAAGGAGACCTTTAAATCATTTCCCACCACCCTTGGGGACTTTTTACACACATCAACCCAAGTCTAAAGGAAATGTTTAAGACCATTTCTAAACTCTAGGATTTTTTTCTGCCAATTGCCCTTTTTCGTCTAATTATATTGGCCTTGATTCAAACTCAATGTAAACTGAAATACCAGTATTAATATGACTTAACTACACAGCCACTCTTGGAGGGAGGGGCTAGACAATATGCAAATCACAATGCTGGAGTTAAAAACCATTTTAGCACTATAATCATTTTTTTTAGATTCCCCCCCCCAAAAAAAAGCCACACTAAACAAAAAGTTACACTTTCATTGCTCAATTAATAAAAAGAGATTCACCTCAGTACCACTAGTTAGAAATGAATGACAAACAGTTGATTTAAAATAAGGACATCAATAAATGGATAGGGGTTGAGTATATATCATTAGAAACACATGGTTAGGCACTTTCTTTTCTAATCTTCCTAGAACTATATGAATCCTTCATAAATTACTATTAGCTTTAAAATATCTAAAACTAAAGTCAATTCAATATACTGCTGAAGCAAATTTTTCCTTTTTGTCATAAGATTAAAATTAACAAAATTCTGCAATTTCCCAAAACACCTAATTTAAAAGAAAATTAAATTTCATTGCAACTTAAATTTAAATACGCATATTTTACAGCTAAATCTGATTCCAGAAACTTAACGGAGTATTCAAAAACTATCCTGCTTAAAACAGCTGAAATATTCAAATTTACTTACTAAAAGTTTTACAAAATGTGGAAGAATATCATCAAAGTACACAAAAAATTCTTCTTTATATGCAGCAAATAAGGTGCACACTATGTCAGCCACTTTACTTAGAAGATAAACATCATCATCATCCTAAAAGAAGATTTACAGTTAATCGTATTTATTTATTAATACATGAAGTTTTAGTAAAATGAAAAATCAAACGAATAGCAATACCTCTTTAATTAAAGTTTCTTCTAAAACTTCATCATAATCTTCTTCCTTTCTTTTCTCTGCCCGCATATCAGCTCTCTCAAAATGTCCAACCAAATGTTTATTCAATATACCCATAAGGTTTACAAAATGTATATGGTTTAAACAGTGGCTATTTACAATTTCAATACACTGCAATATTTATTTAAAAAAAAAAGATTAATTAGCATTTTATTAACAGTATAAGCACTGCTATCTGCATCCATTAGGAAAAACTGGTTATAAGTTACAGTGATAGAAAACAAATATGTATATTCAGCCAAGACATTCCTTCATCAAGGAAACAAAACAGTACAGTTAATGAAATTTATGAATTCAGTTATGTTTAATTTTCATTAAAAATAAAAACCCTTACTTAAGGATCATACTGCATAATACATAACAATGATGCTCAACATGTACACCGTGAAGAAAAAATTTCTCCTGATGGGGCTGATAAATTGCTTCCCACATCCAACAAAATTTTCAAATAAACATAAAATTCCATACAACTAGGTTGATGACATTATTCTGTAGCTTTAAGCACTTAAACATTGCTGCTGGTATCATACCAGAACACTCAAAATACAACCTGCTGTTTTTCCTAGGAACAAGATCTCCCAGAAACACTTTGAATGGCAAATTTCTATCTACAATGCTTTACAATTATAGACAGGACTGCATCTGGGACTGTGCAGCACCCCTATTTCGATAAGCCTAAAAACTAACTTTGGAGGGGGAAAAAATCCGAAATAATTTCAAACAATTATGTAGATACAATATTACTGCACTATTTCATTAGAGAAGCAACACACATATGCTTTTAATTTCTTACAAAATTAATTTGCTTCACAACATCATTACACACAGTTGTCTACCTTTATTTAAAAAAATAACTACTGTGTTTAATTTGCTTTTATTTTGATGTCGGTTTCAATATCTGGAAACTGCTGCATTAATATTTTCTTTGCTAAGAACTGAAAGTTCAGTATGGCACTTAAACCTTTAAATATTAGATTAGAAATTATGCATTTTAACAAGGAGATGAGGTATTAGAGATAAGGAATTTCTGAAAGGAAGAGAATGGTTCACCGAGTCGGTAAACTGTCCGCTTAACGACTAAATTATCCCCAAAATTTTCTCCAAAAGGATCTTCAAATACAAAAGCTTCACATGCATTTCTGCGTAAAAATATATATTTCATGGCTTGTGCAGCATCTAGGCTATCAGTGTTCATGGATATTCTGCATTCTGTCATTATGTTACTCATAAAGGTGTTGTACAAAAAATAGCAAAACACCTCGTAAAATCCATGTTTGAACTGAAATGTTTATTCTTGTAAAAGCTGTTGCTGACGATGTGTGGCTCACAAACGCCACCTGCACAACATTCTCAATATGCTGCAAATTCCGAGATAGTGCAAGTTCATTACGGATATCTGTTCTGTGCATTTTGAGGGCATCATATCGAAGCTAAATGAATTGGAATGTGTGCAATTTTTTTTGGATTATATAGCGGGTGCTTCCATAACCAAGTTAGTTGCATTTGTTTCTCCAAAAAGTACGTAAGTTTTTAAACTAATACACGAAAACTGGAAAAAACACATCCACTAAATCACAGCACAGATGAAAACGTGTGTTGAGTGATCATGACAGATGATCACTGAAGAGGATTGTAATGAAAAATGAGAGGCCACAAACTGCAGGCATAACAGTAACTGCTGAACCGAATGTTGCACTGTCAGCACCAAAATAATACAAAGGGAGCTCCAAAAGGAGGGTATTTTTGGATGAGCTTCAATTCAAAAGATCCTCTCATGTTCAGATTACAGATGTTCAACATGTCCTCCATCAGGGACACGAACTATATCACATCCATACTGAAATTCCTCCCATACTCGGGCAAGCATGTCTGTTGTAACTGATGTTACGACAGTACGGATCCGGTTACCTAATTATATTAATCAGATCACAGTTCTGTATAAGACAACTATCAGTTCATTCCATTCACTGAAACTAATAGATTACTCCCAGAACTTTTATTGCAAATGTCCTTAAAACAGATGAACAAAATAAAGCCTTCTTCACATCACAACTGCAAATTGTCCAAGTATGACATGGTTTTATGGTAATACTTTTGCCACATACATTTTAAATTGAATACATAAAGGTCACCATCAAGTAAAATGCATTATCAACAAGCATATTTTAAAATAACAAATTCTATGATAACAAAAAAATTCTGTAATGGATCTGGTCACTTATTTCAGTTTATTTTAAATTTTAAGACTAAATCAACAGTGAACAGTCAAAAGTACATAACTATGCAAGATGTTTTATTATTAAATGTTCAGAAAATTGGTTATTTCCAAAAATACGCCACATAAAACTACTTTGCAAAATAAGTAGAAAAAACATACCTGGGCAAAAGCTGCCATTAGTTCACACAAGACTTCACTTTCAGGTTCTGAATCAAGAGCCTTAAGTAGATAAGGAATGATATATGTCCACATCTCTTGCACATAAACATCACCACGGACTTTTGCACACTCTAACAAACATGGTAATACTTCACCAGCTGCCATACGCACACGTGAATAGTTAAAGAACATTTTTTAAAAAACTACATTATAGACATAACATGACATTAGAAATATTTAAATAAATCAAATATGAGCGAGTGCAATACAGAAATTAAACAAAAACAAGGTTTAATACAATTTTAAATATTAAAATACTAACCTGAATGTTGTTTACAGAAACATAATTTAATATAGTTATCAAAGTTCTCTCAATTTTGTTGAAACAAATACATTATAACATTTTCATACTACTGTAGATGAGAAAAATTCTTTTACACCATCTCAAATGCAAAATGGGTAGCACCATCACCTAATGACTGTATGTAACAAATACTGCAGAAATAAATGCAAAATAGCCACAGATTGGTAAACTGGTTTATTAAGTAAAACAAAATGGTAAAGGAAAATCAGCCTAGGATTTGAGTTATTGCAGGACTCTGAGGGGAAAATTCTTATATAGTACGAAGTCCGAGATCCTGATGTCCAATATCCAGAATGATCTAAAATCCGGACCTCAAAATCGCCAACAACTATTTTTAAATGCTTTACGCATGCACATTTGATTTTTCACTGAACACATATAACACGTGGAGTCCTGATTCTTAATTTCCCTTCAGTACTAAATAAATACCTCATTATTAAAGAAACAATAATTTAGCATAAATTTGTGTCATCAATAATTTGGCTCCGTTGTTGCATATATGCTTGGCATACATCTCAAACCAAAACATTCTAGATAGAAAAATAGTTTATTTTACACTTTCTAACATTTTATATAACTCTGATGCCAAAGTGGTGAATTATGACTTTTATTACATTTTGCTTTCATCACCGCATGTTTCTCAACACGACATCTTGAGTAATGACTCGTGCAGTGATGCCCAAACAATTTTTTTTTTTTAATATTAGAGTAACTTAACAACAAAGAGAATGGTAACATTTTATCTTGACATTATGCTTGGAAATGATTAGAGATTTAACATAAATGCACTAAGAAATATTGACTATGAAAAATTTTACAAAAATGTTTTCCATCTGCTAAAAATAGATTTTGTTATTATACTCATAAACCAAAAGATTACATTTAGAGGTAGTGAAATCTGTAGTATGGTACTAGATCCAGAAAAATGACAAAGAGGTTATTGAAACGAAAAAATTTTGATTGACAAGTTAATCAGAATTCTCCACACAGAGATTATACTGGACTTGCATCCTACTAATAGAATGCAGAGAAAAAAAAACTTTTCTTACACCAATACTACCAAGATCTTTATAAGTAATGATAAATAGTGATTATCATATTATGATTTGCATGCCTATTTTAATGCCTTCCAATCTTACTGCTAATCTTAGATGATTTATTAAATGTAAATTTGACGTTTATACCTTTGTACAGTCAAAAGTCGTTAATTCGGACACGCATAACCTGGAATGATCTATAATCCGGACCTTTACGGGTGCGAATATGCACGTGCGCAAAATACGTTTACGAATGCGCGTTTAATGTATAAGACGGTATAAGCTAAACTAAAATTATCTAATTCAGTTAATGTTGCAGATTGCGTTGTTCCTTAATCTTCGAATTGGATTCGGATTATTATTTTTTGCAGACTGTTAGAGCAATTTTTTAAAAGTAAGCTTGAACTTTCGATTATGTCAAATAGAATTTCGATATATATTTACTATATGTAAAGGATCTACAAAGCGAAAGTATCTTTCGAAGTCCATTAAACAAAAAAGGAATGCTGCAAATGTATAAAAAGGCATATCCTTTTTATCTAAACTTTAACGTTTTATTTAAATTTAATCTTTAACACGGCGCCAATGAATTGGAAGTTGATCTGTCAGCACTATCCTTATCTTCAGGGCATGTTTTTATTTTATTTGGCTTTAATTGCTTACTAAATGTATTTTCATCTCGATGTCTCCTCTTTGATATATTTAAATCATTCCTCGTCATTATATTCGCTTAGCGAAGAAAGTGACAGAGTTATTGAAAACGAAAAAATTTCGATTGACAAATTAGTCGGTATTCTCGACACAGCAATTATAGGACTTGAACAGCGGAACTTTGTAACTGAACAAGAAATTATGTCTGTTTATAGAATTAAAGAGAATGTATTTCACAAAAACAAGCAACTTAAACAACTTACATTGAAAGAAATGTTTATAAAGTAAACAAATAAATATTAAGCTTTTTTTTTTTGTAAATTTTGATACCTTTAGATCATAATTGTTCTTTATTTCATAAATTACGGTTTCATATTTTGTAATGCATAATTTCTGCATGCATCTTACCAGATTAAATTGAGGATCTATAAAAAAAAATCTAAGCCGGAACGCCGAAGTCCCGACGAGTCCGGATTAATGACTTTTGACTGCATTTAAAAACTTTTGAGAAAGGATATCATCATGAAAATAAAATTTTAACATTGGCACCATCAACTTCAGAGTTTCTTCCATATATGGAGCAAAAGCTTCTTTCATCTCCCGAGCATAGCACACTAGCATTTGGCATGCTGTAGCCTTTTCATCTAAACCTGCTGTTCGAATTCCAAAATTATGCTATAACAAAAAGAAGAAAATATTACACAAAGAAAAGGATAATCAATCAAACTCATCAGAAATAATATATGGTTTTTACTTTTTCTCCTACATTGACAAATTCCCAATCTTCATCATTTTCCATAACTCTCATGTCATCAGCTATAAATACATGAACATCCAAAATTTATACATAGATAAATTCTGAAAGCCACAAATACACATTTAAATTCAATTATCATTAATTTAATAGTAACAAAAACAAGCAAAGTGCAGACAGATTTCAAAGTCAGAAATCAAGTCTACAATGCTGAGTTTTTTAAAAAGTAAAGCAAACAACTTGAAAATAAATATATAAAATAATGCAATAATACTCTTAACACTCAAAAACACTGCACTAATTTTCTTATGCCGAAATATAAATTTCACAATAGTAAAATATTCCAATATTTTTAACAATGGCTAAGAGAGAAAGAATTACCATCCAAAACTGCAATATCTGGTTTTAGAGCAGCAGCTTTAAGAACAGGTTCCATTACATAAGGCAAATACGGTTCAAATGCTTTCCCTAGAATCTTGCAAATTCTAGCCCATGCTGCTATCATGTAGCAAAGCTATAAAAGATTAAATGTAAAAATTACTTTTTTATTATCACACTTAAATTACTATTGTTCCCTGTTAGTGTGAATTTATAATTCTATACTTAAGTTTTATTTTAATTAATTCTTAGTGGAAACCACACTAAAAACATTTCCAAGAATGCAAAATTTCAAGTTTTGTATTTGAATGCAGTAATAGTGGAAAACAAAAGTATGAAGCTTTTTGAACATTTTATAAGCTGTAATCGTGTTTCAAGTAAATATGTATATCAATCTCCAATGAATTTGATAATTCATAGTAAAAAATTAAACAGCATAAATATACAGTTGACAAACTAAAAGCCAGAGCTATACAATGTGATCATACTTAAAATTGGCCTACTCAGAGCACTCTGTAGTTGTGACTAGAATGGAGATTGATGTGAAAAATTCTAGAGAGACAATTTAAAAGATGCACTGAAAGATTAAAAAAAAAAAAAAAAAAATCCATGAGGAGGTGGATTGTGATTTTCTTCAAAGAATGGTCCAAGGATAAATTGGGAAGCGAACTCTAACTTTACGCGAGTAGTGGAATTCTCTGGAAGGCATGTGGATTTTCCATAACCCAAATTTATCAACTATGGATCTTCGCTGTTTCATTGAGATAAAAATGTACATTACTACTTCAGAAGATGTTCCATCGCCAGGTGTAATTTGACTTCAAATTGAGCAAGGAAACTCAGTGCAAAAGATAAACGACAGGCAATGGCAGTAACCAGTTGCTGGTTGTGACCGATCTTAAATGGCAGAAAATGCACTATTTTTCTAAGTATC